TAGATAGAGACAGACAGACAGAAAGAGACAGACAGACAGGTAGAAAGAGACAGACAGGTAGATAGAGAAAGACAGGCTTGGTTTTCTCACTGCACCATATGTTCTGGCTTCAGATTTACAAAAGATGAAAACTCATCTTTGAGCTTCATCTTCTCAGTGTCTCTGCTCCCATGTGTCCTCTTACCTGCTGAATGATGAATCCACTGTTATCACAGTAACCTGCAGTTACACCTGAGTACTGGTCATCGAAGAGTGCGTGACTGAAGGTCAGTTAAAAAACAGTGAGGGGGTCGTAGTCTTACCATCACTCTGTCAAACATATCTGGTTAATAGGTACAGACTTTATTAGCTCCAGGTTGTTGATGAGAAACAAAAATGCTAAATATGCTGCAATTGTCCGCAAGAGTCTATCATGACAGAAGTGCCACTGGATGTTTGGCAAACTGATTATTAAAAAATATCTTCAGTAACCATGCAAACAAGGGAAAAAATCACAATTCACATTTACAAAATCTAAAATGGAAGAAAAGCAAAATGTCCCTCTCCTTCGTCTGTGTTTACAATATGAGGGGAGGTGAGGAGGAGAGAGGAGAGGAGAGGAGAGGAGGAATCACAGTTGAGGCTTTAAATATCTTCACTCTTGGTGCAATGTGACTGCAAAATAGACAGAAAATAGACAGAGGAGGGAGGAGGAGGGAGGAGGAGGGAGGAGAGGAGAAGGTTGGAGAGAAAACAGAGTGTGGGGAATAAGGTAGGAGAATGTTACTGAGCACGGAGGTTAAAGAATAGATGGAGGAGAGAAGGAAAGGAGGGGAGAAACAGGGGCTGAGATAAGGAAGTTAGGGGACTAAAGGACGAGGAGGAGGAAAGATGAAGGAGAGGAGAAACAGGAAAAAAAGAGGAGAAATATTATGCATGAGCAGAGGAACAGGAGCGAGAAAACAGCGAGCAGGAGGCGGGATATAAAGGACAGAAAGAGTGAGAGACAGAAATAGAGAAAGAAAGAGCTATTCTGGTAATGATGTTGTTGCCATGGAGACGCTATCCTCAGTCAGACTGCTCCACAGGTGCCTTGTGGGTAATGTGCAAAGGACTTCGCTGATTGGTGGACGACTTTAGAGCAGGATAATATTGACGGGTTGAAAAAGGTCAAAGTGAAAGGTCGCGCCATCGAATCCCACATCTTTGTACCGTTAATCCATCGGTGATAAATAATAATACAACGTTCCACGTGCACTCTGTGTTACAGAACAAAGCCATGTTTGATTCTGTTCATAAAGATAAAAACCTTTTTCAACAGATTCGTCTCTTCAACAGCTTTGATCAATGATCAACCACCACTTGATCAACAGTGGTCTGATCAGACACCCACCTCATCGTTAACCTGAGACTGCGTCTGACCCTCAGACAGTGAAGATGGTCCCAAGAGCATCTCCATCATAAATCCTGCCTCCTCCATGTTAGTGGATGGGACATGGACCAAACAGAAAAGTCAAAGTACACATCAAATATTCTTAAAGACTGTTTCTGTCATTGTGGGTAGTTCTTATCTCACTGGTGTGTGTGCATGTGAAGCGTGCACACACACACACATGCACATGAAAAAAGCAGAAAGAGCAGTGGTGAGTCAGGCTCCGGTGAGTCACAGGAGAAATCACACGCACGCACACGCACACACACACACACACACACACACACACACAGCTCTCTTTCTGCACTTTTTAAACCAATGCTTCTTCCATTTAAAACTGCCATAGAAACAACCACGTTTCGGGCAGTTTACATATTATTATTAGTATTATCTTAAAATATATTTTCATTTAGTTTCACCTGCTGCTTTAATAAATGCTGCACATCAACATGAGCCATCAACTGAAATGTCCAAGACTGCAGCGCCCTCTAGAGGACAGGATGGCTGTTGCAAAAGTGTTCACTCAAACTATCAAACGTTATTTGTCCAGCTCATATTAACAAGGTGCCACAGCCTCTGTTCCTAAAGAGAGGAACATTCATGTTTATTGTTGTATTATATTCGCTCCCTGTACTTTAGAGTTAGAGTGCGTATTCACTACATATGTACACATGCAAAATATGTCTGTGATGATTCTGTGTGTTTAAATTATTCAGAGAAAACTGTGTCTGTAGATTTGATCATTTTAAAACTGCTTTATATTGGAAATCTCACTTATACACAGTTTCACCAGTGAGTTTCCCCAGTGATTGATGTTATATTAGCAGATAGTCAAGAAAGAGAAAGGACAAAATATAAGATAGTAAGATAAGAATAAGAAAGGGAATAAGAAATTAAATTAAATTAAATATGAATACAAAAATACAGGTGTAGATAATATACACCTTTCACTACAGACAGGTGTTGTAATGGGCAGAGAAGGTGCAGAAGCAAAGTGTCCGGATGGATTCAAGATAAACATTTAAAAATTAAAAATCTAAATAATTTAAAGAAAAAAATCTTCAATGAATTCATTATGTTCAAGCTTTTATTTTGAAAGAACAACGGAAACGTTTGAGGGCAGTTGGACGTTATGCCAGACATTAGACGGGCCCCATGTTTGCTACCAGCGGGTGAAGGGAGGAGGTGAAGCCGCATCATGTGCAGCCTCCAGCGGCTCAGAGCGCTCGTCAACGAGCGTCTGTCGGCGGCCGCGGAGGAGATCTTCGAGGCGGTGCAGAGAACCATCGCGGGCTACGAGCAGGAGGTGCTGCAGTCCGAGCAGGAGATCCGGCGGCAGCGCAGGATGCTGCGGAGCGTCCTCTGCCCGGAGCCCGAGGTCCACAAGCCCCAAGGTCTGAGAACCGCGCCGGGCTCCGTCTATGCTCTGAATCACTCCGTCACACCCACTTCTCCTGCTGAAATCACGAACTTTAGCTAGTTAGCTTAGCTTAGCTGTAGCCGCAGTTTCCCTTTTAAAGTGAACGTGGGGCGGTTAGCTTAATGCTAAAACATGTTCTCACAGTAACATAGGCCCATTTAATACGTGAACTACATGACGCAGAACTCCATTACAAGAATGAAACATTAAAAGTTTGCCTGCTCATTTCCAAATGAACAAACTCGTCAGGACACGAGTTCTTATTTCTTATTCATTATAAAAGTGCACTTTGAGATTCGGCTCACAAGTGATTCACCAAGTGGCTCAAAATGTAGATTTAAAATAAAGTTTTATTTTCCTGACTTTGCAGTGTGGCTGTTTGTTGATGAGCTAAATGTCTCACATGAACCAAGTTCTTCCTAAGAGACAGAACCTCCAGATGCCGAACTCCTTTAAAACATTACAACATTTTTAAGTTTACCTGCTCATCACCAGATGTAAAGAACCTGATGTGACATGGTTTTATTTATTATTCATTAATATAATTCATTACATCATTAAAGAACTCGTCTCACGAGTGATTCATCAAGTTTTATCTCGTCACCATCAGCTTTTATAGGAAAATAAACTTTTCAGTAGTGTTGAGTTGATAAACGCAGATGAACGAACCTGTCGGTTTAATCACATTGATTCTGGAGTCTCCTCGGGTTTGATTTTCATTATGAGCAACATTCAGCAGGTGGAACATTTCCTGATAAAGGAACATAAAGTTTAAAGGTTTGATATTTAATGTAACTTCAGTTCAGTGACCGTATTCCTCCGTTCCTTCCTGCAGACCAACCACAGCTGGCTCTTTCTGTCTGGAACGAGGACTTTGCCTCCAAACAGCAGCAGCCGGACGAGCGCTGTGAGCCCGACTGGACCTCCGCTCTGGAACACGACGACGAGGAGCCTGAGAAGAACCCAGAGGAGCTCCCCAGTAGAGAGGAGGACAACCCCATCGGGTTCATCTTCACAGGGCCGAATGAGCTCCACCCCCAGGGTCCAGGAGGAGGAGGAGGAGGAGATCCTCTGCCGAGCACTTCAGCTGAGCCGGCTGAGACGAAGGTGGAGGTGGGTGACGGAGCTTCGTCTGGCTGCTCTGCGGTTGAAAACGACGACAGCGAGGACGAGTGGAGGGCCAGTGGGGGGTGTCCGAGTGACAACAGCGACAGCGGCAGTGACTGCACGAGCAAATGGAAAAAGAAGAAGAAGGGCCCTCGTTTACCGATGGCTCTGAAAGTGCATCCGGGAAAAAAAACAAGATCACGAATCTGCTGTAAAGTCTGCGGGAAACCCTTCCACGCCACCGTCTCCCTGGTGAATCACATGGATGTTCACCCCAAGGACGTCTGCGGTGTCTGTGGGGAACGTTTGGACACTGAGGAGAACTTTAAAGTTCACGTGAAGACACACGTGAAAGCTGAAAGCTGCAGCGTTTGTGGGAAGTGTTTCGGTGGATCCAAGTCTTTGGCGACGCACATGCGGATCCACACGGGAGAGAAACCGTTCAACTGCAGCGAGTGTGGGAAATCCTTCAACTGTCAACACAACATGATGCGACACATCAGGATACACACAGGGGAGAAGCCCTACGTCTGCTCCGTCTGCGCCAAATGCTTCAATGACTACTCCACGTTAAAGCGCCACCTGCGGGTTCATGCGCACAAGAAGCACCTCAACCGAGATAACGCAAGCGAGAAAGAAAGTGGCAACGACGGCGTGAAGAGGGTCAAGAACCCGTCACTGAAAAAGCAGCAGACTCGGACCATATGCGAGGTGTGTGGGAAAATGTTCCACTCCATGGTCTCCCTGGTGAATCACGCCAAGAGTCACTCCACGGACATGTGTGGCGTCTGCGGGACACATTTCGACTCCGAGGAAAACTTAAAGCTTCACCTGAAAACTCACAAGAACGGGAAGGTTTGCGACGTGTGCGGCAAGTGCTTCGACAGTCAGGGAAACCTGGAGATGCACATGAGGATCCACACGGGGGAGAAGCCGTTCCTCTGCAGCGAGTGCGGGAAGTCCTTCAACTGCCGACACAACATGATGCGACACATCAGGACCCACACGGGCGAGAAGCCGTACCTGTGTAACACCTGCGGACGCTCTTTCAGCGACCACTCCTCGCTGAAACAGCACGGCAGCACTCACAGCGGGGAGAAACCGCACCGCTGCGACGTGTGTGGGAAAGGCTTCCACCGAAAGACTTACGTGAGGCTTCACATGAAGAGTCACACGACTGCTAAATGACCCTCTGTCAACGAAGGGAGGTGTAAATAAAGGTTTTTTAAGGTTGAATGTCGTCTCTCTGAAACTTTATCTCTTGGTGCGTCGTCGCCCGTGGACACACGATGGTCATCCTGCACCAGTCATCACACAGAGCGAATGAAACAAGGTGAGAGGTGCTGCTCATCCTCAGGTTGGAGATGGAAGTTATCACCAGCACTTTGTATCTTCATCATGCTTCCATCGCCTCAGTGACGTTTTTACAATCAAACATTTAGATTCCAGCCAGAGACGTTCAGAGCTCCGAGTGTTTTTATCACCAGTCTTAAGGCGATGCTGTGCCAACTCTCCTGATTTGTTATACACTCACATTTCTACTTTGGAAATTTCACCTGGATTTTTCTTTTGAATTATGTGTAAATGTTTTTCTGTAACTTTCAGTCGACTGCATCGTGTTTCATGTGCAACACAGACTTTGCTCTGTTTGCTCTGGTGTTGTGTGTTCAGTGGTGTTTTCTGAATGCAGCGCTCTCACTACGTGCCTATCACCAACAAGGACTTCTCTATTTTCTAAAGTAAATCAGTTTGATCTCAGATCAGTTGTCTTAATACCAAGATGTAAAAAGAGAAATCCTCTTGAAATGAGGAGTGATGGTTGGAGGCGAGATCTCGTGCTCAGCTGAGCTGTGACGCTGTTGACTTCCTGCTGGAGAACAAAGTGCTTGAGACAGTTTGACGGAGAGACGACTGAAGAGTCGCAGCAGTTTACAGACATTGTATTTATTATTTTGAATCCTTTATTTGAGCAGGGAGATGGAACATCTCTGAAAGACGTTGATTCAATTAACTTTGAGTGAAAAGCAAACTTTTCTTCCGTCCTGTTCACGTGTGCATTTCTCCACAGAGATGATAAAGAAGTGAGATGTCTCACTACCTTCCATCATCACTTTGACAAGTGACAGAATTAATATTGTGCTGATGACCTGTGTGAACTAAATTCACTCACTGGGGTGGAGAAGTCCCGTTAACCATCGGTGAACTGTGAATCACTACATGTACTAATATCACATATCTACATCCAGAACAAGTGAAGAGTTTTAATAAATTACATTATGGAATAAACAAGAGTTTTCTTTTTTTGTTGACGAGTGTCTCATCTCTGCTGAGGGTCGCGCGTCGTCTGTTCGAGGGCTCTGCTCTGATTGGTCGACAGTAAAGCTTCTGAGGCGGAAACAATCAAACCAGTGACGTGAGTTCACCGTCCGAACATCAAGTTCCCAAACAAATGAAAACAAGTTTCATTGTGTGTTGAATTACTCAGACTCCAGATAAAACACATAGACACTTACCAAGACATAATATAATACTACCTGTTTTTATATGGCACCTTTCAAAACAAAGAAAAAAAGAAAAACCGTAGCAAAGGTTTAAATCAAAGTAAGATCCAGCAACATTAGAGACAAACAAGTTACTGATGAGAGTCAATTCAAAAGGACAAAGCAAACTTATTAAAATATGAAGAACAGAACCCGGAGAAAGCACAGCTGTAAAAATGTGTTTACAAGACTCCACAGGAAAGTTTTATATTATTCCACACATCAGGAAATTACAGAAATAAACTTCCATAACTATATCAAACTAGTGCAAGTTAAGATATTTAAAATTCTTCAAATCCATCCGGCCTGTAGATCTGAGGTCTTCTGATGATTGACGGGTTCTGCTCTCAGCTCTCCTTGATTGTTTGTAGTTATCACTTATCTTTCTTTTATTCTTTTCTTTTTCTATTTATCTGAAAACAACGTATTATTGTATTTGGTGACTCTGATATGAATTGACATTGTAATATTTATTTATAGAGTTGTTATTTATCGAGTG